CTAATCTTGTCTTCCAAAATGCTTGTATCCTCTCCCAGCTTAGTGTTATCTGCAGGCTCGACAAAGTATTGAATCTGCTCGCTCGTGGCGAGTAGATTTCAGCCGAGCGCCCCATTCATTTGCAGCACGTGCATGCGCAATGCGGGTCTTGCGCATGCGTAGTGTGGGGCTGGCAAGCACTTTCGCCGCCGTTTGTCAAGCCCTGGTTATCTTTAAATTTTATAAATATATCCTTCACTCCATTGTACAAATAATTAATGAAAACAATGAATAGTACCAGGCCTCAGACTGATCCTTTCAGGACCCAACCACATACACATTTCCAGTTTGACAGCAAGCCATTGATCATTTCTCTTTGATTACAGTCTTGTATCCACTTTATAGTGCTTTCATCTAGACCACATTTCCTTAGTTTGCTGTTGGGAATGTCATGTGGGACTGGGTCAAAAGCCATACTAAAGTCAAGATATATTACATCTACTGCTTGTCCTTATCCCATTAGGCTAGTGTGACGGCGCGTTGGGGGTTCCCCGTCTCCTGCACCCCGAAATGGCACAAACAGACTGCACCAGCCAGTGGAATTGAGGGTGGTTTATTGCTCCTCCAGCACAGCGCAGCACAGATGTAATCTGGTTACAGGAACTGGGGCTAAGAGGCCTCAGTGCCCCCCTTGAGATAGGGGAGTCCCAGCCCCCTCCCCAGCTCCTTATTCCCTGCCTTCCAGCCAGGAACTAACTAACCCTCTTCCAGCCCTGCCCCCCAGCCAGGGCAGCATTCCACCTTCCTTTGTTCCTCTCCATGGGGGGTGTCTGGCCACTGGTTCAACAAGTTTGGCATTACCTCTGCCTAGTGAGGCTTTCCCTGCTGGGTCTTGCTCCAGACAGCAGGGGTCACCACATCCCAGCAAGTACCCCCACTACATCACAGCTAGTAACAGTCAAAGAATTAAATTAAGTTGGTTTGGCATCATTTGTTCTTCATAGATCCATGTTAGCTATTCCTGTTCACCTTATTATTTCCCAAGGTATAAAGTACTCCAATTTTACCCTGGATTAAAATTAATCTGACTGGCCTATAATTCCTCAGGCCTTCTTTTTTCCTCCTTTTAAAGTACCCAGAGGTGTGTATATCATGCAATGGAAGTTCATACCACAGGTGTGTGAACATTCAGGTTACTACAGAGGACATAAAACCTAATTCTGTTACAGCTAATAATGGAGATTCTTCTTTATTTCAAACATGCTACTCTGTTTTTGGTTTGGTTTTTTAGAGCAAACGATTCTGACATTGCTCTTTGCTTATCTCATTTGAAAGGTGCATCTAACCAAGACACGGTGTGATGTATTTGAACACAGAGGTCCCTTTGGGACCATCACCTCCTGTGCTGATCATACTACTAAACCTGCCTGCCCTCTGGGGTGCCCCAACACCCAGTCCTTCTGGGCCAGAAGTTCTGGTCTCCTCCAGGCAAGGCACAGAGTTGGGGTAACAGCCTTCCCAGCAGAGCAGCATAGACACTGAACCAACTCAGTTCTGGGAGGTATCAGCTATAGGGACTTGTCAACACCCAGATACGCAGTCTCAATGTGGACCAAAACCCAGAGAAATCCATCTTACTCTGTATAAAATATTTTACACAGAGAAACTCATAAGTTCACTTTCTTTATCAATGAAAGGGAGATGTGCACAGCTATGTCTCCTTGCCCCCAGGTAACAATTATTTACACTGGGTTTGATGATAAACAAAAGTGTTTTTATTAAGTATAAAAAAAGTAGGATTTAGATGATTGCAAGTGAAAACAGATGGATCAAAGAAGTGGATTGTCCCAGAAAGCTCATGACCCCATCTACAGGTTTTGTTAATGTTTATGGTGCAGCTAGATTATATTGTTTTTTAATGTCAAAGTAAGTTTCTAAGCCAAAATAAACAAAACACACCAGCTAATCCTAATACACAAAGGGCATGTCTACACTAGAAAATTATTTCGAAATAACTTATTTTTGAAATAATAACTCCCAAAATAACTATTTTGAAAGAGTATGTCCACACTACAGGGAAGCCTTGAAATTAGTCCAAGGCTGGTTCCCTTAATGTGGATGTCCTACCTTGACTTAGAGCCCCAGGAAACACTGGGGAGTAATTACTTTGAATGACTCAGGGGAGTAGTTATTTTAAAATAGCGGCAGTGGAGTGTCCACAATACTGCTATCTCAAAATAACAATTTTGAAATAATTGTTATTCCTTGTGGAAAACAGGAGTTATTTCGAAAAACCAGCCCCTTATTTTGAAATAACGGGCTTGGTAGTGTGGATGCTCTGCTTGTTATTTTGTAATAAGAGAAGTTATTTTGAAATAACTCCCTATTGTAGACCAGGGCTAAGAGAGATAGTTACAGATCATAATTCTCACCCCAATCCTTTTCTCACATGTATTTGTTCAAAAGCCAGAGTTATCTTTAGTTGGCTTGAGTCTAACAGCCTCTTCTATAACCTTTTTTTGGGTGGGAAGGCAGTTTCAAAGGCCAGCTAAAGATAAAAGACTGCTTCCCATTGCTTAAAAGACTTTCCCCAAGGCAGGAATCCTTTGTTTCATTCTTGCCATGCCCATGGAAGAATACAAGATTCAACAGGGATTCCAGCACCAGGTGGCACAGTCACATGTCTTTGTAGGACCAACGACAATTTGGTCTTACAGAAAAAAACAAAACCATTCACAGAGTGTTGCCTTGAGCACTGGGCCATTATGTTTCCAGAGTATCACTAATGGCCCTCATTAGCACATTTAGAACAATAAACAGATTCACACTTCATATTTCTAACTTCTTATACAACGATACATGCACAGAAATAGAATATACACATTTAGCAGATTGTAACTTTAAAAATGTCACATGATGCATTTTGCCTAAAGTGTCTTTTAATTATTCATATTCATATTTATAAGCCAATTTTCAGAAAGAACAAGGGGAGAGGAGGCTGTGACACAGTACTTCTTTCAGGGTATTGCAGTTACAGGTAACTTATTCTTACTTGGATAACGTACTGCAATCCAACTTGAGCTTTTAGTTCTTTTATTAAATACATTTGTTGTGGGGCATAGTTATAAAAGAACAAATATCTTCTATCTTATTTTTTTAGAAATTTTGAAAACTAATGAAATGAAATTTGTTGTTTAGTTTATTATAAGCAAAGTACCTTATATAATGTAAATAAAATATGTAAGTCCATAGTGTACTAAACTCCCTCCCTAACTGGAGATCCATTATAGCATTGTATTATCAAAGCAGTTGATTTATTTATCAGTGTTGTTAATAATAATCTCACTGGTAGTACTGTAAGTTTAGACAACATTTAAAACATTTTATGTACCTGTCATATATTATTCAATATTTTAGATGAATTTTCACCATTTGTAAATTAAAATCCTGGAACTTTCTAAAGCCTTGTCTTCATTAAAAGGAAGATTGCCGCTGCCAAGATACATTTTCCTTAGTTCGATTTAGTGAGTCTAATTAAGATTTGCTAAATTTAACACGGAGGGCACCCCCACAGGCATCCGGTACACCTCTTTTGTGAGGAGTAAGGGAAGCTGACCGGAGTGTTTGCTCCCATTGGCTTCTCAGTGTGGGAATACCGCCAAGCTTGGTTTAATGTAAGTTGGGTACCTTAAGACAAGCTGCTGGGTCTAGTGTAGACCTGGCCTACCTGAGGTAGATTTAATGACAGTAACTTGCCTGTTCCTTGGATTATTTTCTAGCTCTACAGACTGCATTGCCTATATTAGGATAACTTAAAAGAGAAGATGCTTTAAGATGGATTTTTCAAAGCAAATGCATGCCAATCCTGTTGAATTTTAATGGGATTTGTGTGCCTAACTCCCTTAGACTCTCTTGAAAATCTTACTCTTAATATGTAAAATGAAATTGCAAACTATTGGATTACAGTGTTATGTTCAAGTATCAGAAACAAATTATGAGGCTTTCAGGATAGACCTCTTTGTAGAACAGAAGTTGGCCTCAGTAGGGTGATGTGATTATTTTCTTTGTTCAGTAATAAGTCAGTTATAAAGAGATCTGTTTTTATCTTCCTTTTTCTCCATACACAGTACAGATATTAGAAATGTCTAGGTTAGATCTATAAAATATCTTAGCCCAATCAGTATATTATTGAAACATCTCTGCTCTGCACTCTGTTCTTATCCATTCTGAGGACATGAAACTTATGTTTGTTGCTGCCTTTTTCTGCTGTTTCTATTTGGATAAATGTTATAGCTTTCATGGGATGATTTAATCTACTTTTATTTCCTGACATGAATTTGGGGCTGCCGAGTCTGACGAGAGCTTGTAGCGTTAATGGTTACAGTAGCTGGAAAAAATGGCCATTTTTTTTATTTAAGTAACATGATCAACCAGATGGAAAGCAAGCTTCATGGCAGATAAACTCGGCAAGGATGTTTTGCCACAGTGTTTTAAGTCTTGTTTTAAAACACTTTCATCACCTATCTTATGCTATAAAAATGGAATTTTTGAATTCTACTGATTTTTCCTGTTTTATGCTAGTAAACAGTACATCAGAGAACTGCTACAGTGTTACCTAGTGTAATCCTTCCTTTAGCTTGATGAGGAAGCATGATAATCTTGTTAAACGGTAGGCATGAGATACTTGGAAATAAACTCTGGTCGATTAAAACATTCATCTTCTAGGCTGTCTGAAAGCTGCAATGATACAGTTACTTGAACTAAAAATTCATTAACCTTCTCTTCAGTGAGCTTGATCATCTGCATTATAAATTACAAGCATTTCTATTTGCAGGAAGTTATATACTCAACCTGCTTTCCTTTTAATATTGTGTAGTGGAATTAACATTTCAATAATATAACTTTGAACAGTGTAATCACAGAAGAACATTACTTTTTAGTTTTTACATAAATGTTGGTTTCCTTTTAATCACCATTTAAAAAAATCCCTAAAATGTAGATTTTTTTCTTGTCTTCCCAAGGAAGGTATCAGGTGATTGAAGGTATCATTTCGCCAGTCAGTGATAACTATGGTAAGAAAGGCTTGGTTTCAGCAAGGCACCGGATAGCAATGGCTCAACGTGCTCTGGAGACATCAGACTGGATTAGAGTAGATCCATGGGAGAGTGAACAGGAGAAGTGGACCGAGACGGTAAAGGTGCTGAGGTAATCATGTTTATTTTTGTGTATGGAATTGCCACAGGCCACAATCGATCTCAAGGGGCAGCATTTTTCATGTCTGCATTTTAAAAGAGCTACACTGCAATACAAAGGGCAGAGACCTCTATATGTTCATTAAGGCAAAGTATTAATTAGACTAGTGGTTTTTAAACAGGGTATATGTACCCCGGCGGAAACTCAGAGGCCTTCCAGGAGTTACATCAACTCAGTTAGATATTTGCTTAGTTACACAACAGCCTACAGAAAAATCACTAGCAAAATCAGTACAAATTAAAATGTCATACAGACAATGACTTGTTAATACTGCTCTATATACTGAAGTGTAAGTACAAAAATAAGAAAAAAACAGTTTTTCAATAATAGTCTGCAAATCCAAATTACAATTTTGTATTTGTATGTCTGAGTTTGTAAGCTAATAGTTTTTAAATAAGACGAAACTTGGGGTACACACAGCAAATCAAACTCCTGAAAGTGATACCATAAGAGAGACTGAGAGCCACTGTTTTAGGCCAGTGATTCCTAACCTTTTTCCCATGGAGGAACTCCTAAAATAATTTTTCATATCCCAAGAAACCCCTACCTATAAAAATGTTTGTTTGGCCAGAAAAAGTTGACAGTGGGGAGCGCAATTCAATTATTTTTGGTATTATCTAATCTTTTTTTCCCGCAAACAATGCACAATGGAACGGGGCAATTTTCGTCTCCAGTCCATGTAAAGCCCATGGCCAAGTAACTGTCCTTGGCAGGGCTCGACAATTAGTGTAATCTACAAGCAGTCTGTACATGCACAGCATGCTGAACTGCGTGGCTGGCGAGCAGGGCTCGCCGCCACTTGGTGAGCCCTGGTCATTGGAAAGGCGAATTTTTTTTAATATCAGTCACTTCTCTTCCTGTTTCATTCATACTTGGCTCTGATCATTTTGATTCATTTTCACTGTCCTCTCCTTCACTGACGCCTTCTTTTATACACTTCCACATTTTTTTTATTTTTATGGCCGTATGAAAATACTGTTACGTAGGTGAGATTTTAGATACACAAAAACAACCACAGTTTCAGTAAAAACGTTAATTGCAAAACTGCACAAAGACTACAAATCCACAAAATAGCGAACAAGCATAATGTTCCCGCAATATTTCAAGGGGTATTTGGAATTGTTCGTGGTATTTCAAAAATTTTATTTATTTAGTCCACAGTTTCTCGTGGAACCCCTGAGCAAAACTGCACAAAGACTACAAATCCACAAAATAGCGAACAAGCATAATGTTCCCGCAATATTTCAAGGGGTATTTGGAATTGTTCGTGGTATTTCAAAAATTTTATTTATTTAGTCCACAGTTTCTCGTGGAACCCCTGACAATGGTCTTCGGAACCCTGGTCATTTATGGTCGGAACTACGACGGTATCTGATCGTCTTCGAACCTCCGACTTTCGTTCTTGATTAATGAAAACATTCTTGGCAAATGCTTTCGCTTTGGTCCGTCTTGCGCCGGTCCAAGAATTTCACCTCTAGCGGCACAACACTGTTTTAGGCTGTCTGCCAAAGCAGAAACAAAAGGAAGTGATTCATTCTTGCCCAGAGAGAGATGAGAAGCAATTTAGCTGTTGTTTGTGTATCATCTGCATTCTGATAAGGAGCTAGATCTATGAGCTATTAAACCTCATGAACTAAAGAGCCAGATAGATTCATGGAGGTTAGATCTATCAATGGCTATTAGCCAGGATGTATAGGAATGGTATCCCTAGCCTCTGTTTCTCTGGAGGTGGGTGATAGGGGAGGGATCACATGAGGATTACCTTTTGTGTTCCCTCCCTCTGGGGCATCTGGTATTGGCCACTGTCATCAGACAGGATACTGGGCTGGATGGATCATTGGTCTAACCCAGTATGGCTGTTCTTATGTTCTGACTTGCTTAAACTTTGTTCTCTGCAAGATAACATCTGAGCAGGACTCTCACTCAATGTTCCCTACTGAAGCTCTTAGGCTATTAGAACAGTAGTATTGAGATTTTACACAAGTCCCCTTACACTAGAGGTCACACACCATCCAGGACATATTAGCTACCATTATTGGAACCTTTCAGTGAAATCCTTCTTGACTGGAGTAACTGAAGGAGCTCCATGCGAAAGTCCATGTGTCTTCATGTATTGCTCCAGTTCTTCAATAGACTCAGCACTGATCCTGCTTTGGGATCCTTTTTTGCTCTTTACCTACCTTTTTTGCTCTCTACCTACTTTCAGTCAGGTCTAGTTCTTTTTTGCTATTAAATGTATTTTCTATGCCAAGACTGCAGTGGCCTCTGGGATGAACTTGGAGCATTCTAAAGTTCTCAGAATGGCTTTGTTTCCTTTAAGACCAGTTCACTGGACACTGCCATCACTGACAGGAACCTGTCACAATGGTATGCCAGTTTCATTTTACACTGTTATAATGTGGGTGGCTGCCTGAACGCAAGAATGACAAGGCTTATTTGATCCAAGATAGGGTGGTTTCCTCTGCCTGCCTTAGGATTCTTTCCATCTGATACAAAAAGCAGTTATGTAGTCCTCACTTCATAAGCTTGCAAAGCACTTTTGCGTGTGTTCAGCCACGAGAAAGAATTCTACCCATGTTTGTCTTCCTCCCGGAAGAAAGAACAGATTTCATCTACATGAAGTGCAAGCTGGTCGACATTTTGGAAGAAAAAATTAGAGGACTGGAGTCCTAAGTGTCGACCCTACGCTCGATCAGAGAGAATGAAGACTTCCTCGATAGAAGGCAGCGTTTAATCCTTCAAGCACGGCAGGCAGAGGAGCCAGAGAGGGCAGTACGTGACCAAGAAGAGAACTGGCAGCATGTAACTTCTAGAAGGGGAAAAAGGCCAACGCGGGAATCCCCCAATGCTATAGAGGTAAGTAATCTCTTTCAAGCTCTTTCCACAGGCTCTGCAGTGCTGAAAGCTTTGGAAGAAACCTCACAAGGAAGAAACCAGAAGGGAACACCATCAACTGGAAGGCATGGGATGCATAGTCCTAGGGATGGGGGCTCCACGGCCACCACCCCCAAAAGAAAATGACGGGTGGTGGTGGTCGGGGACTCCCTCCTAAGAGGGACTGAGCCATCCCTCTGCCGTCCGGACCCGGAATCTCGAGAGGTATGCTGCTTACCGGGAGCTTGCATTCAGGATGTCACTGAGAGGCTTACAAAGCTGATTAAACCTTCAGATCGCTACCCCTTCCTGCTTCTACACGTGGAAACTAATGATACGGCCAAGAATGACCTTGAGCGGGTTAGTGTGGACGTGTATCTTACCTCTTTTTTATAGTCTTTTCGTGTCTTGCTCTTGGCCTTGTTCTTGCTTTCTATTGCAGTTATTCTTGGTTTCAGGGTTAATCTTCCTTCAGTCTCTGAGAGGGAAAATTCTCCCCAGGTGGTATAGTAAGAGAAGATTACTGAGTAATTTTGCTTCTCTGAAGATACCTTTTTGGCAGGGTTTCTCTCACACACCCTTCCATCCTTATCCCTTATCTTCAGAGTTTGAAAGGAAACTGTTTTTGAGATGATGTTTGTCTTCATCCTTATTTTTATTGCTTGTTTTGAGGTATCAACTTTTCAGTCTTTTTTTTCTTTTTGTGATTAAGTGATATTTTCTTCCGGAAGGGTGGTAGTGAGAGGTGTTATTTTCTACTTAACCAGGAACTGATTGGAAAGTTCCAAGAGAAGGGGAGGGGTGCATGTGTGAAGGGAGAGAAAGAGGAGGGAGACCACCAGTAGCCAAAGACCACAGGTCTCAGTGTCTTACTGCTGACCTTGGGGCTTTTAGAACTTAAGAACTTGGGGAGTTTCTCTTTTCTCGCATTAGGGAGGTCAAGAATCAGTTGTGAGAATCTGACCAGAATAATGCTTTCAGAGAAGCCCAGCTACTAGATAAGCAATTCTTCTGTATTGGCTTTGATGACTGTTCTAAGGTCTGCATGGCATACTACAAAATGCATATCTCTGGATTCTAGTATAGGAGGGGGAAAACAAGAGAAGCTGACAATCTACAAATGTCTTTTGAAATGACTTTTTTAACTGGATTTTTAAACAATTGATTTTGGTGCATACAGCTGATTAGGAACAAGTTTTCAGCCATGGTCTGAATTTTCATGGGCAAAATATGTGCATTCAGGCATCTTGTATGCATATGTTCACAGGTGACACATTGAGTGAAGTTGTCTGACAATTAAAGTACTCCCATTCATTTAGTCTACATGTTTCTGTAATGACATGCCTACATATTTATGGTTTTGTAGTATTTAAAGATTTTATCCACTTACTAGGATAAGAATTAAGGCTATGAAAGCACTACATCCTTTTGATTGTGGTCCTGATCATTTCTTTTAAAATGGAATGGTATCAATGTTATAGGTTCAACATCTACTACTAATACTTATGTACAGTATACTGCTGTTCTCGCATGAAGCGTGTATCCTCTAAAGATTAAACTAATATCAACCCTTCAAAGCCAGAGCTTGAATTGTCTGATAACATTGCTCTACAGCCAAAATGCTTCTGAAATAAATGTAGTCAAACTTTACTAATTCTGGGTCACTGAGAACGAAAATGATGCTTAAAATTGTTGATTGGCTCTAGTTTTCAAGATATGCTATTGGGTCAGTATATACGACCCTTGACTTGCGAATGGCAAAGGATAAGTGAGTTATAAAGGGAAGGGATCTCAATTTAAACCAGAAATGACTAAAATACATCTTTGACTGGATCTATGAATAAATCTATGACTGGGTTTGGACAGTACTTGCTTTTTAGGCAAAACAATGAATGATGCAATCTGAAGCTGGTATTGCATCATACATGATATGAATTGCATCATGTTATTCCTAGAAGTCATGGATGATGCAATCATAACGAAGCTTACATCACTCTGCTGAACAAATTGCCCAATATCAGCTCTAGAAATCATACAGTGTCATGCTCTCTTATATGTCAGTGTTTGATTTTGCAAAG